AGTCACCAAAATAAAGACTTTTGGCGACTAATAATTTTAGTCGCCAAAGGTGTTTTCGTCGAAAAAAAAAAACCCACTTTTTTTTGCTTTTTCTGAGTTTCGAATCCCAATCGTCCCACATGCCGAACCTTTTTGCAATACACTCCCTCCACTATGCCACTACAACATCACATGAATATATATGCAATATATATTATTTATATAGTATATTAACCGGTATTAATACAAAATAATATATATAAATATAATTTTTTTAATTCAATATAATTTATGTAAAAAATAAATTATTTACTTAAAAAAAATTTAGGCCACTTTTGGCGACTAAATTAAATTTTTAGTCGCCAATTCTATCATTTTCGGCTACTAACTATTATTTAGTCGCTAAAAAATTAAGTTCCGCCTAGAAATAACCAGTTTTGGTGACTAAACCTGTTTTTAGTTGCCAAAAAGTCCCCTTTTGGCTACTAAACTGAATTTTAGTCGGCAATGGACTGTTTTTGGCTACTAATTTTTTTTTTGTAGCCAAAAAGCTTCACTTTCAACGACTAAACTGTTTTTAGTCGCCAAAACCATCACTTTTGGCTACTAAATCATTTTTAGTCGCCAAAAATTGTGACTTTTGGCTACTAAACAACCTTTAGTCGCTAAAACCCCTACATTTGGCGACTAAACTGCCTTTTAGTCATTAATACCCTTATATTTGGCGACTAAACTCTTTTAGTCGGCAAAAGTGATCAATTTTGGCGACTAATTCCATTTTAGTCGCCAATTGTACTACTTTCAGTGGCGAAAAATGCAAATTTGGTCGCCAAAAGTGCTTTTTATTGTAGTGTACATTTTAATAGTTCAATCTGGTTCAGTTCTTTTTTCTTTTTTTTTTTGTGATTTAATTTAATTTTAAATTTTATAAAATCATAAATAATGATTTAATCATTAACTTATTTTTAAAGAGTAGTTCTATTAATCCTTAGCTTTGTCTTATGACCCCCCATATCTTTTATTTATTTTTTTTAATTCTAATTTTGTCCAAACATAAAATTCTATTTTTATTCCCATCCCGAACTTTCTAACCCTAATTTTCCAAACCCTAACCCTAATCCCGCCAACTATCCCCATTACTCGAACACTGGTCGCCACCCCCTATTTTCGCCAGTAACCTCTACTAACATCACTAACATCACCTTTAGCCACTAATACCTCCACCTTTACTCACCAACCACTAGCAACGCCACCACCCACACCACTTTTAGACTTTCTTTCTCTATCTCTTATCTATTAATTTCTCACCAGATCACAATTGCGATTACAAAAGATCAGTGATGATGGTAAATCTATCCTCCTTGCATAATTGTCACAACTGTAGTACTACTTGTGATCTCCCCAGATTTCATTCCGTAGTTCAGGGCTAAGCCATCACCATTTGTTCAATGGTCTATAATTGAACTACCACCATTTGTTCAGTGGTTGACATCCAAACTTCCACCATTTGTTTGGTACTAGTTTTTCAAGCCAAGTGAGACGATTTCAAAAATAAAGAAATATCGAACACGACCTTGTAGGAGAGGGCTCTATGTAGTTGTATTGGTGGCAGTGATGGCAAATGATTGAGATTAGTGAAATGGGAGATTTGGGTGAAAGAAACAATGTGAAAGATCGCTGATAGAAGAAGGAGAAGGAAGATGGAGCTAGGAGGTGGGCCTTCGGAAAAGAAAAGTTGTCTGTGAGGGAGGGCTGAAGGAGGGTCTCCAATAAAAGAGAAAGGTTGTGGGAGGGTTGTTCGATGTGAGGAGAGGTTGCCGGTTGAAATGTGTTGTGATGATAATTTAAAGGGTATATTTGGGATTATGAAAGGGGTCCACAGAAAAATAAGGAACAAAGTAATTTTGGTGGTAGGGGTTCAAAGAAGTGGGGGTCCTAAGAAGAAAGATAGACATATTTAGCAATTCCCTTTTTAAATTGAGGGTTGGTTTGGGAATAGACTATTTTAGTCTTCATTGGGAATAAACTTTTTTAATTTGACTTTTTTACTATCTTAGCCTAGCTAAAAAAATTGTGTTTGAGATAATGATTGACTTTTTTTTTACAGTTGATTTGATGGTTGTGAGAAAAAATAAATAAAATGATTATGATTTAAATGTAACATTTTGTCTTATTGACTAAACTAACATGTTTTGTCTTTATTGGCTAATTTAGCTCCCAACTCACATCCCAAACGAAGCCAATATATTTTTGATTTTTTAGTTAAAATATAAGATATAAAAAATTTAGTATATTTAGAATGATTTTTTGATAATTTTTTATGAAAATATTTACAAAAAATAGAGAGCTATTTTTTTAAAAAACTTTTTATATAATTATTTAATTAATTTTTTTAATAACTTTTTGAAGTTTTTAACCAAGCCATGGACCAAAACCCATCATTTTTTGACGGTAAATGATAGAGCATCACATAATTAAAAGTGAGAAGCAGCAATAATGAGTTACTAATTACGTATGCTTTGCATGAACTCTCGCAATGCTATCCACGAGGTACACATAGGCCCTGTTTAGTAAAGTTGTGGGAGAGTGCTTATACCTTATAACTATAAACATAAGCTAATTTTTTACTTATAAATTAAGCATTTTCTGCCCCACTCAAAGAATAAGCTGATTTCTGACTTCCAAAAAGTTATAAGCTCTAAGTTATAAGCTAAATCAAACACATCAAAATAACTTAAATTAAATTGAAAACTAAAATAAGTAACTTTTAAACTGCACCAAACAGGCACATAACCTCGGCTCCTCTCCTCATGGTTTTGCATACACATAATAGTGTCTAATAATGATTACACCATTCGAATCCACTTTCCTCCCTTGCTGGGCGCTGCATACCATGGCTTTCGGCTAAACACTCTCTCTCTTAAATCTTTTTACAGTAATGATAGAAACTCTCACAAAATACAACTTCGACAGTTTTCAAAATGATTTGAACTATTCATATCATTATCAGACATAATTTTTAAAAAAAATTCAAACACATCAATGATTAATACATCAGTGAAAGTTATAGGGATTCTCTTTTGTGAGAATCCCAAACATTTTTCATCTTTTTATTGTTTCATAACATTCTTAATCTTTAGATCATTAAAAAGTAATGACGATTTTTTTAAGTTCAAATTCTAAATTAGAGAGTGTTGTTTGAGTTTATGAGACTCATCACAGGTAATGTTTTGATAATTTAAATCGTTTATTTTATCGTATACTTGATGTAATTTAACTACAAAAAAAAAGATATCATTTGATAATCGTAACTTATTAATTTATCTCGTTTATCAAAAAAAAAAAATGAGAATTGTATTTTTAAAATTAAACTGAATATGTCACTTTTTAAGTATTTTTTGGCTAAAATATGAAAGAAAAACTACACAAGTGTTTGAGAATGATTTTTTAAATTTTTACAAGAAAATGTGTAAAAGAATAAATAAAATGTGAACGAATCTTAACCTTTTTTTTTTTTTTTTTTTTTTTTTGGGTATGAATTAAAAATATTTTAACCTTTTGACCTTTTATATAAAATCTTCTCATCCCAAACCGACTATAAATGCTCTTCGCTTGAATGTCATATATGCTTCTATATTTTTCTTTAATGAGAGTTGTTATATGTTGTCTTCTTTTTGTTCATCCTTTTATGGGAAAAGTTAGGGATCATGAAAATTTTTTCCTGAAAATGATCATGAAAAATTTATGATCCTTAGATTATCTTGATCAGTGTGTGGTGCTGTATTCTAAGTGTAATCCAAGGGTCACAAAATTTTCATGATTATTTTCATGGAAGGTTTTTCATAATACCTAGCATTGCTGTCCTTTTATATATAGGACTACAGTATTTGCCTTCACTATTTCTTAATGATTATTTTCAGAAAAAGAACCGATTATGAGTAATCCACATAGATGGTGAGCATGGTTATCAGAATCCCGATTCGGATCTTACGATCCTATGATCTTACGATCCATTTGAGTACAATCGATCCGGATCGTGTAAAAAACTCCTTATAGGTAGGATCTTTCGATCCTGGTAGTGAGATCTTATAGGATCGTGGAATCCCGATCCGAATCCGATCTTATCCGATCCAATTTACAAGCCTTATTTTGTATTGTATGACTTATTTTGTTGTAAGTTTTATATTTGTTGTCTAAATATCAATTTATGTTGTCAAAATAAATAATAAAAATTAAGTAGTATTGAATCAAATAGACTAAGAAAAACAAACATTCAAATATTGCGGTAATTTAAGAAAATTAAATAGTCGGAAAAACAAACTTAGCTTTAGCGGAGTCTAAGAAGGGTAAGATGATTGCAACTTTATCCCAATTTCTGCAGAAATTATTTTTGTGACTCGAATCCGCTCCACCAGGGATGCTAACGACAAACCTTATCATTCGACTAAGCTACTCTTTTGAGTTCTTAATCTATTTTCATATCTAATTTTATTAAATATTTTTTCTTCACTTTTTATGCATTATTGTACATTGTAAAGTATTTTGTTATAGAATTCTTCTTCTTCTTCACCTTCTTTTTTGATAAAATACAGAACTTTTACCATCGAGTTTTCTATTGCATAATATTATATGTACATTTTACATGGAGTATTATATTTTTCACAATATCTTCACTTCTTTTTAATAAAATATAGGTTCATTTTGTGTATACTTTATAAGAAATATTTATTTAAATTAAATTATTATGTAATTTGTCTTTTTCGGTAGGATCTTACGATCCTCGATCCGATTCTACGATCCGATCCTATAAACACCTCTAAAGATCCATCGTAGGATCCCGATTTTAACAACCTTGGTGGTGAGAAAAAAAAGTGATATATAACATTTCTCTTTTTAGTTAGTTTTTATTTTTAGACATCATTGCTAATTGTTTCACTAAAATAAAATGAAAGCAATAATAACAATTAGAAAGTTATATCTCAGTAGCATAAAATAGGATAACTCTTCCTCCACGTCTCTTTCGTAAATTTCACACAAGACAAAGAATTGTAAAGCGTGTTGCATAAATCTCTATAATGGATGGATATTAGGAATGATAATCCCAAAACTACAAACACAAATTTTTATTTTTAGGCATACAACAAATCTACAACACAATTGGGTATTCCTCAAAATGTAATGCAATAATACTCTATACCTCTTCTCCCTTGGATTCTTTTCCTTCATTCTTGTTACCTCCATTCCCAATCTTGGACTTCTCTTATTGTTCCTTATTATCTCCATTCCCAATCTTAGACATCTCTTCTTCTTCCTTATTATCTCCATTCCCAATCTCAGACAACTCTTCCCCCTCATGTCTATGTGTAAACAATCCTTCATTCGAGCACGGTCCATAAGCCCAACTACATCGAAGAAAATAAAATATATTGATCGCGCTCATAATCGCCAGAAGCCAATAATAACTCTCGTAATGGGCCTTATTAATATTATTCGAGAGCCAACTCTCCTTCCCTCCTCTTCTAGTTAGTTTATCCACTGTGTGTATTAGAACACTCGCTAACAAGCTGGCCATGGTCATCCCAAGCCCAGCCATGCACATAGCAATGCTCGACATTTTCTTTGGCAATTCAGAGTAAAAGAATTCGTTTTGGGCAACTGCATTGAACGCATCAGCCATTCCATTCAAGACCTGCTGTGGCACGAGAAACATAGCCGACATAGGAATCACTCCTAGCGGGTTGTTCAAAAACCCGCTCTCTATTGCCTTTGTTTTTCGAAAATGCTCTACGGTTGCTGCAACCGCCATGGCTAGGAAAGAGCAAAATAGGCCTAGACCCATTCTCATTTTTAAGCCAACGTGAGCAGGTTTTCCTTTGATTTTCGATGATAAGGGAAGGATCACACGATCGAAGATAATGATCCAAAGTACTGCACTAGCGATTGTGAACATGCCGAACGAGCCTGCTGGGATTGAGAAGCTGGATGTTACGTGTCGGTCCATGGATTTAGCTTGGAGTAATTGAAATGAACCTTGGCTTACGTTTATCGACATCATGATAACTGAAGACCACAATGGCATGACTCTGACGAGTGATTTGAGTTCTTCAACTTGTTCTATAGTGTAGAGCTTCCATGGATTCGAGGCTGCTCCGTCTGGTGTTAGGTCCTCGGGGTTTCTGATGATGCAAGCTTTGTTTAAGAACCTGAGAAGGCATGAAAATGACAAGATTAGTATTGTAGTAATGGAGAAGTGTTTATTTTGGCAAAAAATGTTTTATTATCTGGCATTTGGTAAAACGAAATTTGGAATAGATGCAAGGAAGATCAGAGGCTAGAGTAGGAAGCCTTCTCATCTAAGAAAATGTTTTTCAATTTTAAAAGCCTACACTATCTTTCCTCCACTGCCCCATACCTAAGTTTATTAGTTGGCTCTGACAACGTTGAGCCCTTGTTATGATACCCCAAAATCGAGGTCTGAGATGGGAATGCTACCCTTCTGTTCTTGAAAGAAACCACCATCACTTGCACAAGACTAGTAAACAAGCTCAAGGTTGCTTTCTGCTTGATATAAATAGGGGAAGCGAGGAAGAACGAGAGAGCAGACAAGAACATGAGGATTGCTAGAATTCCAAACCCTATTTTCCAACCGGTACGATCTATAAGGTAAACAATGCCTGTGGAAACAAACAAAACTGCAACAGCAGTTGCAGCGTAGTACCCGCTAAAGAATTTCTGGCGACCAGCTCTATTGTTTAGTTGATCTGCTCCGAATGCTATAGAACATGGTCTAATGCCACCGGCTCCAATAGACACGAGGGCAAAAGAACCAAGAAGAATAGCATACTGGGCTGAACTCGGCGATTTGCAGCTCTCCTTGTATAGATTGCAATGGGGAGGCCTTGCTTGTGGAATCATAGCAGTCAACCAAAGGACTACAATACCCTGCAACAGCGAAAAAAATTTGTTTTCATTGGGTGGTTATGCCAGAAAATGGATTACAAATCCAAATATTTCGTTTGACAATTCAATTTATTTGATCATAAGTTCTTAAATTCACCATACAATGTGTTTGCTGAAGTCATTGAAGATGTTTCTGTTAGATAATGTCTCAATGGGATCACATAATTAAATGTGGTGTTATCATTTATAAGAAGCCTACAATTTAAGTGATTCAATTTAGTTAATAGGCTTAAGGGTATATGTGTTATGGACCTAATGTGTAGATACTAGTTGTATAATTTCTATTTCTATGAGGGGCAGAAATAGAAATTAAAACATATTGGTTAAAGTTGGTTTTCATTACCTTTCAGTTTTAAAACCAATAATGGTTAATTTATTGGTTTTCATTACCTTTCAGTTATGAAAACCAATTACAACCTTTAAAAGGTTATGGTCCCTATTCCTTCCCAAGGTGAAAAAATAAGAATACTGTTTTGTTTTTCTAAATCCTCTCAAGAAGAAACATAAGGCACCAAAGAGAAAGGATTAGAAGGCTCTAACAAAGTCAATATCAAAGGTTTTATTGACAATCAGACGCTTCCGTTTAACCGTTCATCAATGGATTAAGGTATGTCATTTTGTCTTGATTTCTTGATAATACACATGGTAAATGATCCAAAATGTAAGGTTTATTGTTCTGAAATTTTATGTTTACAAGTGGTATCAGAGCGGTTATTCATGTGTATTATCAGAATAGATATGCTTTTTCTTCATCCTATTTAGTTTCCTGGAATCAAATTCTGTTTTTTATATTTTTGTTTCTTCCTTTGCTGCAAATTCTGTTTTGTTTTCTGGAAATGGAACATAATTCGGATGGCGGGTTCATTTTTCAAATGGATGAACATCATGTATTTATATATATATAGATATATCTTGCGATTTGATCGGTTTCATTTTGAACATCATAAAAAAAAAAAAAACTATTTGTTTTTGAAACCGTCAATTTATATATGTATATATATAATTGGAATTGCTGCATATTATATAACATATACGGGGTCACAAATTTAGAAATCTTTAAATTTAATGTAATTTCATACAACGTCTACAGAAATTTAATTTTCTAACATTCTCAATATAAGTCAATTCAAACAGAATGTCACAAAAGTGATCTCTCTTGTCTAGATTGTTTTATATGGAATGTTTTGAAGTTCATGTCTGTGTATCTCATGCGGGTATTTATTGTCCAAAGACATGATAAGACTTGGCAGAATTACACACACATTTTGTGATGATAAACATGTGCCAATTGTCAAGAAAACCTAATGTGAATAATAAATCCATCAAAAGTAAGATTTGTTATTTGACATAACTTATTGTCAAGTTTGATCATTACAACAAGAATACCACTTACAGTTAATATCACTACCCAAGGCTTGGTATTAATGTTGTGCTAGGTATCTTGAGATGTTGTCATTAAATTAATTTATTTAGAGATTATCTGTTTGGTATACTTTATTGGCTATGCCGAACGATCACGGGGTTACAAGTTTTTATGATCCACAAATAGGTCAATATTTGAGACGGGAATTGCAACATTTTTGAGGATGTTGAGTTTGGGGGAGAAAATCCAGTTAGAGACATTGTCTTTGAAGAGGAAGCAGGAGTAATCCCACTTCCTACTACTACTTTTGACCAATCACAGGTCCTATACCTGTCATTGCTCGAGAAGTAATTTCGGATCCTTAACCAGACAATGTTTTTCAAGATAATATAGTAATTGTTCCTGAGGAACAAACTCTAATATGTGCCATTAAGGCGATCCACCAGAGAAAGGAGATTTGCATTTTCAGATGATTATATTGTATATCTCCAGGAATATGAGGTAGAAATGGAATTCGAAAGATGATCA